ATATAGCAAAGTTATATACTACAAAGAGATATAAAAAGGAATTATCTGATAGAGTTCAAGATTTCACAAAAAATTAATATAATAGATTTTGCTAATATGTATATTTTAGAGAACGTTTTTTTCTCGCAAGAGCACAATCATAAAGCTGATGATAAGAAATTGGTGAGATTGATGATGATGATGATGATGATGAAGCTGATAAAGAAATAGGCAAGATTGGTGATGACAATGAAGTAGATAAAGAAAGTAGCGAGATTGAAACAAACGATGATGAAACTGAAGAAATTAAGTCATTGACAGATGAGGTTTGAATATTTCAAATCTTAATATATTAAATATTATTGTATATATACATTTATATATATATTTATATATTTACAAAGGAGTTAGAACAAGTGTTTTCAAGTCTCTCACAAAGACCATTGATTGATGTTATAAAGGAAAATTCAACAAATGATAAAATTTTAGAAGAAGAATCTTTGGAATTTAAAAATTTAGATAGAGAACATGGGCTATACTTTTTGAACTTTACATCTGCAATGCTTTATATATGGTGTACCAAATACACAATAAGTAAGTAAATATTGTATTACCATTATATAAGAATTTTCCTTTTGAATTGAGGGTTTGAAACTTTATTTGTTATATTAACTAAATTTGGTTAGATCAGGTTCCAAACACTATGCATATTGATTGTTTTAGATTAATGTTTTCTAATATGTAAAACAAGTGAAATTCTATTCTATTTCTATGTAATATATGTTTTACATGTTATATTTAGCAACCAGTGCATATGATAATCTTGCCAAAATTCTTATACACCCTGAGTTTCATACTAATGACATTGTTACAAATATTCAGTGTTTTTACAAATAGAGGTATAGATTACCTCTGGTTACAGTATATCAGTATGATGTACCCATTTGCAAGCAAAAAACACTATCTACAAATTCATCTATTAAAAAAGTATTTATTATATCTCCATTGGCTTATTTGGAGCACTTGTTGAATAACCTAATAATTATGCCTAAATTATATTTTGGGCCTAGTTTGGTTAATAAAGAAAAATATGAATTTTAGCATGAGGACCTTTGCAAAATTTACCTTTTCAAAGAGCATGAAATAAGATGTAGTAATGGTGGTTAGTATGAGATTATTTAAAAAGCTTTAAAGTTAATTTTTTGTGAAATCTTGAACTCTATCAGATAATTCCTTTTTATATCTCTTTGTAGTATATAACTTTGCTATAT